TAAAAAAAATTACTTTTTTCCCCAAAAAAAAAAAAAAAAAAAAAACACTCCAGTGTGGGATCCTAGGGGCATCCAGGAATCGACCATGAGCAACAGACTCCATCCTTGCCCTCAGAAGGACCTTCTAGGCAGGCCTAGTGGTCCAGGCCCATAGTCCCAGCTCAGGAGACAGGGGCAAGAATATCACAAGTTCAAAGCTAGCTGGACCGTGGAGTGAGTTCAACCTGAACAACTTAATGAGACCTTAACTCAATTTTTTTTTAAAGAGCTGGGGATATAGCTCCATGGTAAGAGCACTGTTCTGGACCACCACCCCAAAATTAAAGGGAATTTATCTTGTGCCAGTTGTGGGAAGACCATCGGACCCTGAACTACAAACAAGAAGAAAGAAAAGTACAGAAAGAAATTGGAAGGGGAAAAGAGTCGAGATAGGGGTTCCCACCCTCCTCCATGGTGCCATGACTTTCCCTTTTGAAAGTCTGTAGAGTTCAAACAAAGGCTCAAGACTACTTTCCCCCACCAACTAACAATCGAAGCAACAGAGGAGAAGCTACCTTAAATGCCCTCCCCTGATAATGAGATTGATAACTGACTTATATGCCATCCTATAGCCTTCATCCAGCAGCTGGTGGAAGTAGAAGCAGACACTCACAGCTACACACTGACGTGAACTGGAATCCAGTTGCAGAGAAGGAGGAGTGATGAGCAAAAGGGTCCAGACCAGGCTAGTGAAACCTACAGAAACAGCTGACTTGAACAAGGGGAAGCTCTTGGTCCCCAGACTAACAGCTGGGAAACCAGCATGGTACTGATCCAGACCCCAGGAATGTGGGTGTCAGTGAGGAGACCTCGGAAATCCATGAGGGCCTCCTGTAGTAGATCAGTACTTATCGCTAGCATAGGAAGCCCATTTCACATAGAGGGATACTGCCTGAGCCAAGACACACGGGGGTGGGCCTAGGCCCTATCCCAAAGGATATGACAGACTCTGATGACACCCTATGGAAGGCCTCACCCTCCCTGGGGAGCAGAAAAGGTATGTGATACCCTTTCTGGGGGGTGGGGGGTGGCAAGGGAGGAAGGGAGGGAGAGGGAACTGGGATTCATATGTAAAATAATCTTGTTTTTAATTCAAATTAAAAAATGGAAAAGAAAAAAAAAGACTACTTTCCCCATATGGAAGGTTAAAGGCTAAGCTGTTTACAACCCCAACATGTCAGCAAGACAGTGAGCTGACCACTTCTGCTAACTGTGACAAGCTGGCTACTGACTCCAAAGACTCAGGGTGTGGCCTATGAACTGCTCACAGTAGGTGTCCTTCAGGGAAACAAGGCCCTAAACTATATCTCCTAGTTCCACTTTCGAAGCAAGCCACAAAACCAGGCTGAAATGGGACAGCTTATGACACTGATGACTGCAGCACTGACTGCTGCTACCTTTACTGGTCCCTACCGGGCTCTCTAGCCTCATGGCCAGGCCTTTGTCTGTTTGTTTATGTTTGTTTGTTTTGTGGTTCTTGGGGATCTAACAGTGTCTTGCACATGCCAGGGAAGCTCTCCTCAGCTAAGCTACATCCCCAGGCCACCCAGTCTTCCTACTGTCAAATCCACCAAGCCCATGCCCGTCTTGGGGCTCTTTCCCGGAGCTTGCTCTGGATGCTTCCCA